GGACTCCAGGATCATGACCTGAGCCGAAGGCAGTCGCTTAACCAACTGAGCCACCCAGGCGCCCTGAAGTACAATTTATTTAACTGGTCTCCTTTTGAGGGACCATTTGTCACTATTTTTCCTTCCTGGAAATAGTAATGGATATCCCTGTAATTACATAGCCTGAGTATTTCTATATATAAGTTTGCTTCCTAGAAGTTTCTTGGTCAAGTTGCTTGGTCAAAAGGAGTAATAGTTTTAAGGAGGAGAAAAATCACTCCCCTTCTGTTACTGTGGCTGCAGGGTATATGGGAGGGAGAAGGAGATATATTCTCAGGGATTCAGGTTCTTATAATGCTTTTTTTTTTGACAAGTTTATTCATTACAAAACACAAGACCCGACTCTGGCTGATTTAGTGAAAATGGATTTTTGTTGAAAGGATTCTGTTTAGTTCACAGGATTGCTGGAAAGTGTTGTCATAAATTGAATAACATTTTGTGGGTCAGTCAGAATCACCACTGTAACACTTTTTTTTTAAAGATTTTATTTATTTGTCAGAGAGAGACAGACAGAGACAGAGAGAGAGCAGGGGGAGTGGCAGGCAGAGGTGGAAGGAGGGAGCCGACACGGGACTTGATTCCAGGACCCTGGGATCATAACCTGAGGCCAAGGCCGACAGACGCTCAACCGACTGAGCCACCCAGGCATCGCTGTAATACTGTTTCTATGGGAAAATCTGTTTCAAAGTTCAGAAGAAACCTATTTACAAATAGCCTAAATTCACTGCAAGCAGAGACTGCCCGTAATTAATTGTTGTGTCTCAAAGACTGTGAACACCTGCTGTAGGTTAAGTGGTCTTTAACTGGGCTTCTCTACTAAAGCATGTGTTCTGTTTCACCCCCAGGTCTGCACCTGACTACACAGGTTTAAGGGCACAGTTCTTGTGATATGGTGAGAGAATAAGAAATAAATATCTGGTCTTTGTCCTGGTTCCTGGCCCAAGAGTTTTGTTTTTTTTTTTAAAGATTTATTTATTTATTTGAGAAAGCGAGAATGAGAGAGAGAGAGAGTACATGAGAGGGGGGAGGGTTAGAGGGAGAAGCAGGCTCCTCGCCGAGCAGGGAGCCCGATGCGGGACTCGATCCAGGGACTCCAGGATCATGACCTGAGCTGAAGGCAGTCGCTCAACCAACTGAGCCACCCAGGCGCCCTGGCCCAAGAGTTTTTAAAGTCCTTGGAAATTCCCTAAGAAAAGTGTCTTTAGTTGTTTGTTATACGCTACTTTCAACCATACCTGAGTTTAGGCTCATGAGGTGACTCTTGGTGAGCCCCTGGGTAGCTTCAGGATGGGGGCTGGTTGCCAGAAGAACTAACGTTGTGAATAGAGAGTTGGAAATATCAACCCCACTCCACTCTTCCACCCCTGCCTCTGGGGAAGGGAGAAGGGCTGAAGGTTGAGTTAATCACCAATGGCCAATGATTTAATCCGTCATGCCTGTGTAATGGAACCTCCATGAAAACCCTCAACGATGGAGCTTGGAGAGCTTCTGGGTTCGTAAATGCATCCATGTGCCAGGAGGATGACACACCCAGCTCCACTAGGACAGAAGCTCCTATGCTCGGGACCCACCAGCCCTTGCCCCGCATGCGTCTTCATCTGGCTGTTATCTATATCCTTTTTTTTTTTAAGACTTTATTTATTTATTTGACAGAGACACAGCGAGAGAGGGAACACAAGCAGGGGGCGTGGGAGAGGGAGAAGCAGGCTTCCTGCTGAGCAGGACCCTGGGATCGTGACCTGAGCCGAAGGCAGACGCTCAACCGACCTAGCCACCCAGGCGCCCCGGCAGATACATTCTTTATGGTGCTATAGCATGTATCATATTCATTGCCATTAGGCCTGTCTCTGTGGTAAGTTCTGGGAAGGCAGAAACTCATCCTGTTGTTTGCCACTGAAGCTGTAGAATCTTATTTGGGGCCTGTCACATAGGGTACATTCTATACATTTGCTGAGCAAATCAATGAGGCTGGCACTGAAGTAGCTGTAGATTTCAGGTGTTGTTTATGCTATATTCAAAAATAACACTTTGTAGCCAAAATGTCTATCAGTAGGGAACTAGCTGAATAAATCATGGTCTGTCCATACAATGCAGTTACTATCAAAAAAGAATGAAGCTCCTCTAGATAGATGTGCTAATAGTGGATAGATCTCCAAGACAGATTATGTAGTATCACCAACAAAAGTTAAAGTGCAGAACAATTTTGAGTGGTATGTTATCTTTAACATACAGTGTAAAGTGTTTAAATCTTAAGTGTACAGCTTAGTGGCTATTTACCAATACATCTGTATTTACCACTTTGCAGATTGAGATCTAGAACATTTCAAGGACTTGGAAATCTTTCCCAGATTCCCCTACAGTCCATACTCTCCCGATGGAACCATTATTCTGACTTCTCTCACTTGAGATTAATTTTGCCTGTTTTTGAACTTTATATCTTTGGAATCACACAGAATATACTGGCTATTTAAATATCTTAGCCTGGGAGCGCCTGGGTGGCTCAGATGGTTGAGCGTCGGCCTTCGGCTCAGGTCGTGGTCCCGGGGTCCTGGGATCGAGTCCCACCTCAGGCTCCTGACTCAGTGGGGAGCCTGCTTCTCCCTCTCCCTCTGCCTCTCCCCCTGCTCATGCACTTCTCTCTCTGTCTCAAATGAATAAATAAAATCTTAAAAAAAATATATTTTAGTTTGTTACAAATAATGCTTTGTAACCTGCTTTTCCTGCTTAGCACTATAGCATGAACATTTTGCAATTAAAATCTGCAATAAAAATCATGATTTTAAATTGCTGCATTGTAGATAATGTATTCTTGGTTATATTTAAATGTTTATTCTCAGGGCGTCTGGGTGGCTCAGGCAGTTAAACATCTGCCTTGGGCTCAGGTCATGATCCTAGAGTGCTGGGATGGGGCCCCAAGTCGGGCTTTCTGCTCAGTGGGGAGTCTGCCTCTCCCTCTGCCTCTCTGTCTCTCAAATAAATACACAAATAAATAAAAATTGTTTATTCTCTATTTTTTTTAATTCATGAGGAGTTCAGAGAGTCCATACAGGTAGCAGCGGAGAAAATGGGAGTCAAGCCTGCGACCCAGGTGCTCAGTCTTCCACTGCAAAAAGCAAAGTGTTCAAATATGGCTAGAGCCTTGCAGAGGTCTTGCGCGAGGGCATTATCATAGCAACAAGAATGACTAATAAGTATTAATGGCTCATGACAAGAGAACAAATGCTGTTAATTATCTTAATATATTAGGCGTATTAGTAATGTTTGTTTGTGTATTATTCATGCAAATGTTATTAGTCTGTGTCAGGGGCAGCCGCTGGGCCCTGAGAAGCAGGCTCACAGCTCAGACCTCTGTTGCACATTCCAGATGTGCAGGGGCTGGGACTTTTCAGGGATTCACTCCCGGGTGGAGCTGTGAGGAGCCAATCAGCACGCAGAAGGCGGGGCCCCGGGAGCGACAGCGGTGCCACCCAATGGGCTGACAGCTAGGGCCGCCCCTGGCCAATGGGCGCGCTCCTCCGCGACGGTCGGAAGTGGTGAGGCGGCTCTGGGGGCCGTTGTTCAGTGCGGGGGCTGAGTGAGGAGGCTCTGTGTCCGCGGCTAGCGGGTCAGCTGCAAGTCCTTGCTGTCGTCCCGGGTGAGTGTAGCGGCGGCCCGAGCCTTGGGAGCCTCACTGCGGCCTCCGGTTCGGGAGGAGGCCGACATCCCTAGGGCCTGGTGTGTGGGCAACGGGGCTGTGGGCCCCGGGGGTCGCGGCCGTAAGGAGAAAGACGGCCACGCCGCGGCGTCTCCTCAGGCCAGTGGAGGAGGCCGCGCTTTCTCCTCAGGGAACCCGAGCCTCGACAGCCCCTGGCGGCGCCGCCCCTTCGCGGCCTTGGCCCGGGCGTCGGGAAAGTGGGCGTCGTCCGGAGCGCCGCTGTGGGCACCGCGCCCCGGGCAGAGCCAGCCGCGAGCCCAGGGCTTGCGGGGGGGCGGGGGGGGAGGCGGAGGGGGCGCGGCGGTGTCGCGCTGGCTTAGTGCGGGCTGTAGGCCAGGGACCGGGGTTCGAGTCCCCACTCCGACCAATTGTGCGGCGGCTGTCTCCCCACAATGGGATAATGGCTTTCACCTCCTAGGGTTGCGGCCTGGAGGAGAGGGTCCCTGTAAAGCGCTTAGCAGTCAGACGCACGGTAAATGTTAACCGCTGCTATTTGCGAAGCTGGTGCCCTCTCCGCCCCCCACCCCCGAACTCCCTGGGGGGGAGGGGGCGGTTGGAAACCGACTCCTGAGCCTGGACCTGAGGGGGCAGCTCCGCCCGAAATCCCTGAGAGGGGCTCCTTCTCAGGTTGAAGACTTGCGCTCTACGGGAGCACTTCCCGTGCATTCGCTCATTTACTCCGTACAGCGGCCCTTTGAAGTGTTGTCAGTTGTCTGCCTGAAGAATTTGAGGCCCAGAAAGGTTAAATCCCGTATCCACTGCGTGGCGGAACCAGAGCTCGACCCTCAGAGGGGCCCACTCTCAGCCCTTCCTGCCACCACCAGACCCCTTGCAGCCAGAGGGGCACTTTCCTCCTCCGACGCTCTGGTCTTGGTTTAGTTTCTAGAGCACACCTAGAAACAGACAGCCCTGAGGAAAGTCTCCAGGCTTCCCCTTTTTGGGAACGTGATTTATTTTTATAGATAGATGCTTCCTATCCTTAGTTTACGTTTCGTACGGGAGTGGTTATCTTGAGTCATGTAACTCCCTCATTTAAAACCCTTCTGTGGTTTACTGTTGAGCTTGGACTATAATCCGATATCCTTTCTGCTCTACATGATAAGGCCTTCTTGAATCATTACCGTTTTTCATTATGCTCTTCCAGATCTACCTTTACTTTCTCTTTCATTGCCTTTTAGGCCCTCTGCCTGATTGGGTTTTTCCCCCACTCCCATCCTCTCTTACTTCCTCTTCGCACTTCAGGTCTTCCTTTAAATGTCGTCTTGTCAGAACGTTCTCTCATCACCTTTATCTAAAGTAGATTCCCTTCATCTCCATTTGTCTTTGTACTTTTCCAGCAAAATACAATAAGGTATCCTTTAATTTGCTTATTTTTCTCTGTCACTAAGTTGATCTATTAGACACTTTATTTCTTTAGTTTGTGAAGTAGTCTGAGTGCCAGTGTGGCACACAGGGTCCCAATTAACATGTTGAATGAATATATGCTTTGAAAAGTGAGTTCACTCGGAAATGTCAAAACCATCAAAGAGCCCCTTTGGGGCAGTGTTTAAGACCATTTTTTGTGTCATGGAAAAGAATAAAGTAAATAGTGGTAACAAAATTGCCAGCACTTTGCTCTCTGCATTGACATCTTGTTTAAAAAGAAGGAAAAACTGGGCGCCTGGGTGGCTCAGATGGTTGAGCGTCTGCCTTCGGCTCAGGTCATGATCCCACAGTCCTGGGATCGAGTCCCGCGTCGGGCTCTCTGCTCCTTCTCCCTCTGCCTCTCTCTCTCTGTCTCTCATGAATAAATAAATAAAAATCTTTAAAAAAAAAAAAAAAGAAGGAAAAACTGTACAGTGCACAAACCTGGCAGACACTCTCAGCTAAGGATCAAAGTTAACATCATCTGTAATAATAAAACTGTTGACATCATGTGCTTTCTGATATAATGCACTGAGACGAGCACAACATCAGTTCTGTGGTATTCTTGCCAAAAAACATATTAATCATGAGAAAACATTGAACAGACTCAAACTAAAGGACATTCTACACTTAACATGATTTTGAAAGATGAAGAAAAACTGAAGACGTATTCTGAATCAAAGAAGGTTAAGGAGAAAGAACTATATGTGATATGTGACCCTGGATTAGATCTTGAGCCAGAAAAAGGGAATTAGTGGGATGATTCATGAATATGATTTATAGATTAGTTTTTAATACATTAGTATTAGTTTCCTGCATTTGATAATTTTACTGTGGTTATGATGTATTGGGTGAGGGGTATACAGGAGTTTTTCGTGGTGCTTTTGCTTGTCAAATTATTTTAAAATGAAAATTAAAAAATAAGGTAAGATCAAAGTGTATTGGGTATTAAATAAAATAATGTACTGGTTTTGGTAACATTTCCTGTGTACTTGTTTTTTGTTTTTGTATTCTGCATGTCATCCTAAAAGCAGAAATGAAATTGAAAGTGTACACTTTCTCCTTTGTAGTTTTCAGGAAGAACTAAAGATGGCTGAATTTCTAGATGACCAGGACACTCAACTGTGTGACAATTGGTAAGAAATTAAATCTAAGAAATGTTGGAATGAGAACAAACTAGTTTCTGTAAAAGATTGGTTTATTTATTGGCAGGTTAAAATTGGAACCATGTAACGTGGAAATATATGGGACTAAAGTCTTTTTAACAGTTTTATATAATATTGCCTGTTTTAGTAATGTGATAAGATGGTAGGTTCAGGTAGCATAGAGAAATGAGTAGAGTGATGTGATGGAGCTGGGAGTCTGGAGCTCTGGTACCTGCCTTTAGTTAATGACTTGTCAAGTCACCCCACTGACTGTTTTGGAGCCTCACTTTTCTTTTTTTTTTTTAAAGATTTTATTTATTTATTTGAGACAGAGAATGAGAGAGAGAGAGCACATGAGAGGGGGGAGGGTCAGAG